AGTGCAGATGTCATAGAGAGAAGTGTTGCCACCATTTTGAATTCCAGAACTCCATGTTTCTGAACACCAAATCAAACATACTCGTTCAATTCTTCTCAGTATTTACTAACTCATAGCCAGAAAAGACATAGTTTACACAGGCTATAGCCGTCTCAAACTCCCTTTTCGCCCATATTACGCGACGCAGAACAAATTTCAATCACTCCACTAACAACAGAATAACCAAAGGAAGATCATGTTACACGATTCACCCTGTATCCTAACCTTCTTTCACATTCCTCAAAAAAAAAAAAAAGAAAAAAAGACAACGTCGTCTCCCACATTTTTTCCTCCGCTGACAACGGTGTAAAATATTGAAAGTTCAATTCTTCTGCAAATACCACGTTCCCAGCGCTTTCTATCCGCGCACCGAGAAGAAGGAAGCTCGATTCCCGGTGTATCGCTCCCGTTTCGAGGTGTCTTCGGTCGTGAAGCGGCGGCATTCCATCCGGAGCGTGCAGAGAATCTGCGCGCGCGAGGCGGAGGCGGAGGCGGCGTATATCGGCTGTGGCGATCGTGGCAGCGCACGTACACACCAGACTTGTACGCTAGGTGAGACACGGTAATCGCGTATCGATAGTCGCATACCGTGTAAAACGTCGATCCGCCGCGACTCTGGCATACATAACGCTCCGGTAACGGCCGTGATATATTCCGAACCGCCTTTTTTTCCACGCTCGCCTCTACGGTTCCCCCCTTATTTCCATCGCCAGGTGTATTTTCGCGCACGTTCTACGTGCCTTCGATGTTCGTTGTCATTGTTGCAAATTGCGCTCATTTCCACTCGATAACGGAATCGATCAACGTGCGCAACAGAGATCTTCCAGCGAGAATAAACGCGTGTGTATACAACGATCGTTTTCTTTTTCTAACGCTCATTGTACTCGGTGGTTTTGCACCTGAACAACGTAATTTGCAAATGATCGGAGAATTCCAAGGAGAGTAATCTCGAGAACGAGAGAGAGAGAGAGAGAGGCGGCTCGTTTGGAGAATACAGCTTCGAATTTCCCACGGGATAGATCGAACGCGCGATTCTCGAATGCCATAACGTCTGGAGCAGCGCGGCACCGATTCGCCCCGATAATCGGATGCCAGTGATTTTCGGCATTCGAGCGTGGAACCACGATCGGAATGTACCTGGGAGCTGTCGTTACGTATGCAAATTCGACGAACAGAGTCGAGGATGGAAATCCTCGTTCGAAGAATCCTTACGTAACTAGGAGAGATGGAGATAGGGCGAGTTATTGAGCCGAGTTCGCGCGGCTCTCCGCGATCTTCTCGGTTTAATTAACTTTTTGTACGATTACCTCGGTGTTTTTATCATTCGTCGTACTCTCGAGTGTCGTAAGCAACGTGGTATATAAATGAAATGAAATTAATACACAATCTAGCGTATAAGATCAATCGAGTAACAAGTGTACGAAACGAACTTGATTCAGCATCCTCGAACATTTGGCGATACTGCAAGCAAAAAGTCCTTTTTTCAATGAAAATTTGCCCACTTTGTTCCTCAATTCTTTATCTTTGCACGTTTCTACAATACTTAATTTAATTCGAGATAAATTTGAAAACGACGCGACGGAGAGAAATGATTTTGCAACCGCAGCGATCGAGTGACAAGTGTACGAAACGAATTTGCTTCAGCGTCCTCAAACATTTGGCGATACTGCAAGCAAAAAGTATCTTCTTCGTTGAAAATTTGCGCCCACAAGTGCTGTTGGCGTCTTTTAGCTCACTTCGATCTTCAATTTTCACCTTTACACACTTCTACAGTACTTAATTTAATTCGAGATAAATTTGAAAACGACGCGACGGAGAGAAAAGATTTTGCAACCGCAGCGATCGAGTAACAAGTGTACGAAAGGAATTTGATTCAACGCCCTCGAACATTTGGCGATACTCCATATAAAAAGTAGATACCTTTTCCACTGAAAATATTTTAGCTCACTTTAATCCTCAATGTTTTACCTTTACACACTTCTACTCAATTAAATTCGAGGCAAATTCGAAACCGACGTGATCGAAGCAAAATGTTTCGCAACCGCAGCGAAAGGGTTAAAACTGAAATGAACTTCTCGCCGAGAATCTACGTCACGGGTCTACCTCGTTGTCACAAGCCAAAGGGTTAAGCCAAAGAAAAAAACAGCAATCTATCTCTAATCTAAATGACCAACCTCTTACCAGCAGACTTAAAACTTAAAAGCCAGACTTTTTGCTCCCGTAAAGGTGTGCAGGTATTTTCTCTAGCAAAAACTCGATTTCCCTGTCGGCGGAGAACGCCTCTTAACGCGGGAGGTCAGACACTAGCTAATCCCGTTAATCACGTCGCGACGATAACGAGACAGAAGCGCCACACACACACAGGAAACCGGTACACTTTCCGTATGTGACACGAGGTGCGTTAGCGACGTTCAATTTTCAACGGCGGTGTGTCGTGCACGCTCGAGAAAGAAAAGGTAGAGAGGAAAGCAGCTTGGTATCAGGCCGATCGTGGTAGTGAGAGCGAGGCACCACTTGTCTACCAGGTGAGACGCACGGTAATCGCGTATCGATAGCCGGCCACGACGTATATTGCTCCGATCCACCGCAACGCCGACGTGTATTGCTGCCCGCTAATAGTTAACTATGATCTTACAAGCCGTTTACATCCAGCCGATCTGGCCGCGGTTGCGAAAAGCTCAACTCTCCGCGCGCAAAGTTAATGTGGTCTCCAATAAAGGGGATAAGGGTTGCGCGGTGTTTTTTCTTTTCTTTTCTTTTTTTCGGAGGGAGTTGGATTTATCGTTCGACGGATTTAGAGGTTGATCGTGTGAGGTACGGCGGTGGTGTGTTTTTTTCCGAGGAATTTTATTTATTATCTTGGGGAGGGGAAACGGGTGATTTAGTGGAATGATTAAAACGATACGCGCGGAGGGAGAAATATGAGCTTTGGTGGAATTTTTGCTGGGAACTATAGACTCTTGGGTTACTTGGGAATTTCGATTGATAAATTAAATAATTGTTTCTGTAGAAGCTAGGTACACTACGGGCCGAAAATTTCCAATCACCTGCCAATTTACATTAACGTTCAATCTGCTACTAATTGATGTTGTGGAGATCAATAGCACTTTATCCCATTTCGATTGATTTGAATAATAAAAAATTCCTTGGAAAATTATTATAAATGCTAACATTTTCGGGAAATCTTTGTGCAACTTGCAATGCACAGTGATTCCAAACATTTGGCCGGTAGTGTGTTTGTTGTGTTACATAAAA